GCATTTGATTCAATTTTTAATACTGTAATATACTTAAACTAATGATTAATTGGTTCAAGGTTTTTAACTCAAAAAAAATTTTTTTATATTACCTATTCAAAAATGTAGGAAACTGGCCAAAGTTTCAAGGCCACCTTAAGAAACAGAATTGTCTCAACAAATTGAGGATTGAGACATGTACGATTGTCAGTAATAGTAAGACCTGCAGATGAGAAGAGGTGTTCGAATGGCACTGATATTGCCGGAATGGCTAAGTACTTGCAAGCAAGCTTTGCAAGTGTCAGATAATTATTTTTTCTTAATGCCCACCACTAAAATATGTCTGTTTCACTTGTTCTAGAAGGTTTCTTTTGCGAGAGGCACTTTGAGGTGCTAGGATAGCATTATAAGCATTTGTATTTTTTTCTGGAGTTGGCTGTGTAGAAGTGATTTCTATTGCAACCATTTTACTTTTGGTTTCTTTTAAATTTTTATATTATATTAAAAACTTTTGAAATTCTAATATTATATAAAAGTACAATTATTATATATAACTCTTTTTGATGATTACTTGGTACCAAAATTTTAGAGAAAAACTAATTTACAAAAAACAAAAGAACTAGTATATAATAGTATGAAACTGAATTCTGAGGTCAAACCATAAGACAGTATCTATCATTTAAAAATAGTTCTCACACATTACCTGCTAATAGTCTCAGAGTTTATCACTTACTGCAGAGACAGTACTTGTCATTTGAAATAGTTCTCATATACTACTTGCTAACAGGCTTAGAGTTTATCACTTACTGAAGAAGAAGTACCTGGCTCCATATTGAATATAGTAGATTTTTTGCTAGTGAACAACTCTCCTTAATATCTAAAATTTTTATATAAGTGGTTTTGTTTTTCTACTCTCTCACAGCCTCTTAGTCTCTCAAAAATTTTGACAAAAAGTAGGCAAAATAGCTTACTCTCTCCAAAAGATCAGTATTGTTTATACTTATCTAATTGGAATATACTTAGTAGAATGCAACCACGTGTTTGTTTTGTTAATCAACATAGTGCTATGATATGAGATAAATTCAGTGCCCTATTTGGAAGATATTCAATATTAGTTACATGTTCGAAAAGAACTCAAATGTTAAGGCAAAGCTTTACAATAGAGATATATTAAAAGTTGCAATTTAGTATATAATTTTTTAGTCTTGTACAGGTTATAATAGTGCACTTTTTTTATTTGTATATCATGCCTTTCTTTTTTTCTTTTGTTTTTTCATCTTTATCTTTTATATTCATCAGCAAAAAATATAGATGCAAAATTTTGAAAATTATTGCATGCAAAAAAATTGCAAAAGAATTGTGATTGACACAACAGATTGCGAAATTTTAAAAATCGCAAAATAGCACAAAATATTTCGAAAAATTTTGTGAAATTTTTGCAATAATACATTAAAAACACATATATAAAATAAAAATTTGAAAAAATATTTCACAAATTTTTGCAATATTTCGAAAACTTTCAAAAATTTTCGAATAATTCAAAAATTTTTGAATAATTCGCAATATTTTGCAAAATTGCGAAATATTTCGAAATATTGCAAAATATTTCAAAAATTTTCGAAAGTTTTCAAAATATTGTAAAATATTCAAAATCATGTAAAATTAATATATAATACGAAATATATTGAATAATTTCAAAATTTTCAAATAATTTTAAAATATTTTTGAAATTTAAATACACATATTAAAAACATTTATGATAGATTATGAAATAATTCTATTTAACTTTATTTAAAATATATATTTATTTAACAAATAAAAGCAAATTTATTAATTTATAAAATAAAAGAAAAAAAAAGTAATATTATTCAAATATAATAAAAAAAACAAAAAAAATTAAAAGGTTTATAGTTATTCCTGATCTTTTTTGGAAGTATCTTCTTTGGAGGTATCTTTTTCAGAGGTATATTCTTCTTCTTCTAAATCATCTTGATCTTTATTGGAAATCTCTTCATTATCCTCTGGTTCTTGCTTATCAGAACTTACCTTAGTTACTTCTAGGACGTCTTGATTTCTTTCAGAAGTTTTGCTACTTTTTTTAGGTTCTTCTAAATTTTTGCCGCTTTCTTCAAGTTCGTCTAAAATATTTTAAATATATTCGAATATTCTAAATACATAGATTATCTTAATTAATGTTATATAAATATTTAAATTTACTAACCTTCTCTTGGTTTTTTTCTTGCTTAAAATTTATTTAATATTAGATTTTTCAAAATAATTAAAAATTTTTAATATATATATACTTTTTCAATATACTTCAAAGGCTTTTTAAGTTTGCTACGCTTATTCTAAATATTTTAAATAGAGTTAATAAATAATAATAATAATAATTAATATATTTAAATTTTTACTTGATCTGAATCTTTTGAACTAGATTCTTCAGATTCTTTATTATTTTTTAAGCTAGAAGAATCATTGTCGAATTAGGTGAAGTAAATGCTTCATTTCTTTCTAAATGCTACTATAATTTGAATATATTTACATTATTTTTGTTAAGATTTTAAATATTTAGAAAAAATAATAATAAAAACTTACTAGATTTCATTCAACTCTTTGTTGTATAATTTTTTTTACTAATTGCTAAGGTCTTGATATTAAAATTAAGCATTGTTTGGTATACTCAATTGCATATGCAGCATTTTCGTTTGAAGCACCACCAGTTGGCCAGATTCTTTCTAAAATTCGAGTCATATAAGTATCTTCAAAACCTTTCTCAATATTCTTAAAGAGCTTCTTATAACATTTTTTTGTTTTTGCTGATTTTTTCCAATTTAAAACTTCTTCAGAAGTTAATTTGTTATTAATATGTTCTAAAAGATCTCCAAAAATAAAATATATAGCATTTTTAATTTTAGTATTTAAAGTATTTTGCAAATATCTAACTTTTTTTAAAAGCTTTAAAAAATATTATTATTAGTATTAGTATAAAATTTAAATTATTTTGCAATATTTAAAAAATATTCAAAATATTTTGAAAATTTTAAATTTTTGATATTTTTTAAATATTGCAAAATATTTTAAAAAATTTAAAATAAACCAAATTTTTACTGGTTCATTTAAGTTCTTTGTATAATAAATTTTTAACTGGTTTTTCGATATTTTATTTATAAAATCAGCATTATTCATCCTCAGATATGTCTCATTTGGATAAATTGAATATTCTAATAAGGCTTTAGCAGCCCCCTTTACTGTTTGCTATTATTTGAATAATATTAGAATATTTTTAAATTAATTTAAAGAAATAAAAATTTATTTCTATAAAAGTCTTTTCATTCATAGTATCATATTTGTTTACTAATTTTTCTTCAAATTCTCTCAAATGATTCTCTAATCTAGTAACTTGCGAATGTAGTTGCCTAATTTTAAATATCAACTCTTCTTGATTTTCCAACAGTTTAGCTACAGTACTTTTAGATACTTTAAAAAAAAGTAAATTATTATAAATATTATAAAAATAAATTAATATATTTAAAAACCTTCAAGTGATTTTGATATAGCTGACAGATTGCTAGTACTTTCTTCAATTTGTAACTCATCAAATTATTCTTGAAAACTTTCACTAACAACTAATTTTTCTTTAGGCTCTTCTCTTGGGGTTTTTTTTAGTCTTCTTGTTTTTATTTGCTTTGTTTTGCTTCTTCGTAACTTTCTTGGAGCTAAGATTTATACCTTTAAACATTTTTAAAAACTTTTGAATAATTTTGAATATTTTCAAATATTTTAGACTATAGTTAAATTATATTTAATTTTCTTAAAATGTTATTAATAATAATTTGATATTAGCTATCTAATGTAAAAAAAATATAAAAAAAACTAAAGAAAAAGTTAGCTTATAATAAACGTAAAGAAAAGAGACTTAAAAAA